GGGAGGGTGAGTAAAATATCGTCACTGGAAAGTGTACAGGGTGATAAAGAAACTATAAGCAGGTTAGAAGGGAGGGGAGGGTGAGTAACATATCGTTACTGGAAAGTGTACAGGGTGATAAAGAAACTATAAGCAAGTAAGAAGGGAGGGGAGGGTGATAAGTATATTGGTACTGGAAAGTGTACAGGGTGATAAAGAAACTATAAGCAGGTGAGAGGAAGGGGAGGATGATAAGTATATTGGTACTGGAAAGCGTACAGGGGGATAAAGAAACTATAAGCAGGTGAGAGGGAGGGGAGGGTGATAAGTATATTGGTACTGGAGAGAATATAGAGAGAGAGGAGGGTGATAGAAAATAGAGAATAGAAAGAAAACAGAAATCGGAAGGAAAATGTAGAGGGAAGGGAAGGTGCATAGACTTATCTGAAGTCCTAATGCTGAGATTTTTCCATCACAGAGCTTTGAAGCAAAATAAAGAATTGAAAGAAAAACTTGAACAGATTGAAGACCGATTCGTAAAATTGGTAAGGACAAAATACCGCGTTGAAAGAAGGAAGGTTTCTGTCAGGCTCTTATAACCTAAGAGTTTCGAATTATGCTTATTTGTCCGATAAAACGAGTAAACAGAATTTTTAAAAATTCGGCCTACAGAGTCATGATTTGGGTTTCGCGCCAAAAATACCGCCAATTTTGACAGATTTGCTCGTTATGATTTATCTCGCCGACTGAAAAATTCGTTGGTATGTCTGAAGCAAAGCAGAGATGAGAAATGCATGTGATAAGAAACAAGGGAATCAAAAGTCTAGGGTGGGGTAGCAGTGGTGCATTCAATGGGTCTGGGGTTTAATCTTTGGAATCAGCATCACACGTAAGGAGAATTTGGGAAGCATGGGTGGCGTGACGGTTATCTAGCGCTCATTTCTCACCAATGCGACCTGGGTTCAAGTCCTCCTTATTCATTCATTTATTTATTTATTCATTCATTTATTTATTTATTTGTTTATTTATTTAATTATTTATATATTTATTCATTCATTTATTTAATTAATTATTTATTTATTTGTTTATTTATTTAATTATTTATATATTTATTCATTCATTTATTTGTTTGTTTGTTTGTTTATTTATTTTACTCATTTATTTTTTTATTTGTTAGATCTCTCCCTTGATTCAAGGTTTTTTCCGGGTTCTCCCAGTTTCTCCCTCCGCAAAACCCCTCCAAGTAACATGATCAAGCAGTAGGGGAGGGGTTCGGGGTATCTTTTGTTCCATAATAACCTCCATAATAACCTCCTATCTAACGGGTAGTACCTGCTAGGGTCTAATCGTAGTATTTTGAACTAAGCTGGAATATTTACATGACTGATCTTTCAAGTTAAAGATCAGAAAGATAACGTTGAAAACACAATTTTTTGTATTTTTCCTCGTACTGAGTGATCTTTTTGTGTCTTTCTTTCTCGGGACAGACGAATGACAACATGGAGCTGGCGACTCAGATTGAAACCGAGAAACACGTATCTAGAGAATTGGCGATAAAACTGAGTGAGACTGCTGTGGAATTGGAAGAAACAAAAGACAAGGTCAGTATCAGAAGAGCCGCTCTTAGTGAGACAATCACAAGACGTGAAGTTCAAACACACCAAAACTGAGGGTTTCATTGTGGAAATAGATGTTCACCTATTTTCCCTCAGTTTTTATCAACATTTTAATTCGGATGTCCAATTCGCTGTTTCTCTAAGGAATCGAGCGTAGATAGTGTCAGCATGAGTTTGATGTGTTGTTCTCACTCTCCCTTGCCACGAGGGTTTTTCTCCGGTTTCCTCCCTCCGTAAAAATCAACATGTGAGTCGAGTGTTGTATATTGTAAATATAGAATGTCGTGGTAGTGAGTGTGAGTGAAAGCAGACACACATCAGCGAAAGCTGCCAAAATAATCAGCCTGCTATAACAAATAAAAAGATTATTATTCAACGACAAGTCAAAAACGCAGACAATGTTGAGGCGTACCATATGAGTTTTTGCTTGTTTTTAATTTTTTTCATAAGATTTGATATTAATCAGTTTCTTACTGATTCTTTCAGTTATCGAAAAGTGATGGCGAGTTGACTGTGAAGACAGGCGAACTTGACTCCATCCAAGAAAAGGTACTATTTCTATTAATAAAACACATTTGTACATCGTTTTGTACTGTTCGGGAAAGTTTTCGTGTGAGTGTGAAACGCTTGTAGTACAGTCACTGCACGGAATTGACGACATTAGATAAACCAATCGCAATGCCCAAGGCAACTTCTTATCCAATCAGAAATGCTTCTACACGGCACGGCATGCCACTTCCGTATCGTGAACTTTTCAAAGTCTTACAAAATTTACTCCATCATCAAATTGTGACCTTTTGCAATGTTTTGAATGTACTTCATGAACGTACTGTGATTTTATTTCGCTCAACAGCTTCACGGCACAAGCTCCGAAGTGGACTCGCTACGAACGGAAAGCGAATTGTCATTACAGCGTCTGAAAGAACAGGTTGGTAGCCTTGAATGTATAGCTTTTGTATCAATTTACTTTGCCAACGTACCTTTAATCCCCCTCCCCGCAAAAGAATGCCCAGCAGTAATGGCGGTCTTCTATATCTTATGCTAATGCGACTGCTCTAGTCACGAATTCTTTAGGGCAGATTTCGTACGACTGTAGCTGCATGGCCAGTGGCATTGCCATAGGGAGGAATAGGCCACTTGAACTAAATAACAGGTCACGCAACTGCTTCGTATAAAGAGGGTTAGGGTGACGTGACCTGCAACTGCAGTCGAAACGTCGCGGTCCTCTGCAAATGACCATCAATCGTGAGACAAATGAATAAGTATCATTTATTACTTTTCCACAATGAATAATATTTTTCATTCTATGATTTATATAGTTGGCTCATAAAGATTTCGAGTTATCATCGCTCAGAGAAGAGCTATCAACGACATCTGAAAAACTGGATTCAGAGCAGGTGAGAAACAATTGTCTTTGCTTCTCTTGATTAAGATGTTTTAGTGAAGACGCTGTTATTCCTGACCATTTCTGGTCTGGGGCAACTTGTCTCGCGAACATATTGAAGGTCACTTGTGTAAAACTATGGATGTAACACAATGAAATTTCAATTTAACTCACTTAGGATATTTGTTGCAAAAAGTAGAATATTCTTTTACTTTTTCTGGTACTTTTCTTGGTCATGATAGTGTTGGAGTTGGATGGTGATGATAGTGAGGATACTATATAAGACGATGTGGATGCTGTTGATGATGGAGATGATGGTGTTGGTGTTGATAATATTGATAAATTACGATGATATACAAGATGATGCGGATGCTGTCGATGATGGAGATGATGGTGGTGGTGATGATAATGATGATGATGACGGTTATACAAAATGATGCGGATGCTGTTGATGACGATGATGGAGATGATGGTGGTGGTGATGATAGTGTTGATAATATTGGTGTAATGGTGATACAAGATGATGTGGATGCTGTTGATGATGGAGATGGTGGTGGTGATGATAGTGTTGATAATGATGGTGAGGATCGTGATACAAGATGATGTGGATGCTGTTGATGATGGAGATGATGGTGGTGGTGAAGATAATGATGGTGATGACGGTTATACAAAATGATGCGGATGCTGTTGATGACGATGATGGAGATGATGCGGATGTTGTTGATGATGAGGATGATGCTGATGACAGTGTTGATAATGATCATGGGAATAGAAGATGATGCGGCTGTTGTTGATGATGATTATGATGATGACAGTGCTGGTAATGATCATAGGGATAGAAGATGATGCGGCTGTTGTTGATGTTGATGATGATGCTGATGACAGTGTTGATAATGATCATGGGAATAGAAGATGATGCGGCTGTTGTTGATGATGAGGATGATGCTGATGACAGTGTTGGTAATGATCATAGGGATAGAAGATGATGCGGCTGTTGTTGATGATGTTGATGATGATGCTGATGACAGTGTTGATAATGATCATGGGGATAGAAGATGATGCGGCTGTTGTTGATGATGATGACAACATATACGAATCTTCATCACTATCGTTTTTCATTGGCAGGCCCAACTAAGCAATTACTACAAACAGTACGAACAACAAATCCAAAAGGCACAATCATTGTATCAACATCTACAAAATGCCGAGGTAAATCTAGAACTACTCCAAAACACGTCGCCTGATCTAAATCACTACATGGCTAACTCACAGATTGAATGGGAATGCGCCAACTTCGCATACGATGCATACCGCTGTTTTTAAAGACCACAGAGTCATTTGCACAGGTTTAGCCTCGTTTATAAATCAGCTATTCACAGATACCATTCAAAGTCAATGGGACTTGGTATTGTTGAAGCTGTACGTTCTTTACATTACAGTTGACTTTTGCAAATGATTTGCTGTTAAGTGAGTCTAAGCTTGTGCAGAAGAGTCTCAAGTCTTTGTTGTCATAAAACAAAGCGGTATTGGCCGAATAAAGAAAAGAAACTCATAGCATGTGGACCCGTGTTTAAATGTAGTGATTTTTTTCTTTTTCCAGGATACAATCAATCAGCTGATAACAGAGAACAAACAACTGCGAACAGTTCTCGATGCCCATAACGACACGGTGTCTGGGGAGTCTGAAGACAGCGATAGTAGTACGTTATAACGTTAATCATTGATTATTATAAACCTCTTCAACTTGGGAGCAATGTTTTCTCATTTCAATTTTTTTTCTCATTTTGAGATCATGTGTCATTCCATAGAGTATGAGTTCTTTGTTTAATGGTTGCGCCTGACAAGACACATGAATATGGATGCAACTCAAACAAAGACATTCATATTCTCAAGAGAATGACACGTGGTCCTAAAATGGAAAAGTATTACGCTCAAGCTAATGAGGTCTATTAGACAGAACTGACTTACTATACGACAGTGGCGTATAAGATCAGCTTTGCGAATCAGCAATTCACATTACCCACTCAAACTAACTACTCTAATGTTGATTTTTTTGTAAGGTGCTGAAGAACATTACGAAAAGGATGACGGGAAGAATACGGGTGAAAACACCCAAGACGAACATGTGAGCAGCGATGAAGAAGGCATTCAAATAAAACGACTGGCACCCAGTGAAGTCAAGACAACAACCCCGAATATCCACCCTCCCCTAGAGCGGTCATATATCAATGGGGACACATATGAAGGTGCACAGGATGATACGACATCGGATGAAGACATGGATATTACTCCTCCTACGCATGATAGAAGTCCGACTCAGATGTCCAAGTACACTAATCGAGAGGACGTGGTATGTCAAGATACGACAAAGTTCTTTATTCTTACGAGCACTTTGTGGTTTATTATTATTATTATTATTATTATCATTATTATTATTATTATTATTATTACTCGTGTTATGAGCTATCAATTCATTTTACAAATATGTTTTCATCGATAAATAAGTAATTNTATTATTATTATCATTATTATTATTATTATTATTATTATTATTATTATTATTATTATTTGTAACAACTTTTGTAACAAATTTGTAACAATAACGCAAGAGTCAAAAATTACAAAATCGGTGCCAGCGGAAAAGATCCGAATTCGCATGTAAAGCTGACACACATACACTCGGCCAATTTTATATTAACGCTACTGAAAATATTATAATGCAATAACTTCGTATGAAAGTATGAAAATATTCGTATGATCAGGTAAGGTCAGCCGTTCTGGCAATCACAGCTGCGTTCAACATCACTATTTACTATAATTATGTTTCGCGACACACAGGGAACCCAGCTATATTTAGTCAAGTAACTTTGCTCTTTATAGGTTTCCTGTGGTGCGCAGATCTAATTACATCTTAAGCTTATAAACCGAAAAGCAACCACACTGAAGCGACACAAACCACAGGAAACCCATAAAAAGCAAAACAGATATAGCCGGTTTCCCTGTGCGCGACACCGTCAAGATCGTGATGCAAATTATATGGAAACATAGGCACGGTATTATAGATAAATAATGTTCTGACTGACGTTGTTCTGCAGATCGAGGGTTTGTCTGTATCAATACGACAGCTCGAAATGGAACGTAATCAACTGACCAACCTACTCAATACATACAAAGACACTCATCAAAAGGATCTACAGAAACTACAAGAACATATGCAGCTACAGCTGCAGCAGCAGTTACAACAACAGTATAGACAGGTAATAACGAACTTCATTTGCAGCCATGTTAGAACACGACAAGAACAATACAATCGTTTTACATGAGAAATATTTTAATTCCCAAGGCTGTCATCTAACCGCAGGCAGCCCAAGCTGTATTATGGGCGTGACACATGATTGTTCAAAACCTCTATACACTTGCGTGACGGATGCCAGTATCTTGTGACTGCATGTGGACCTATGTGATCATTTTTCTCGGATATTACATATATATGTCTAAGACATGAAGCGGATGTATGAATCTTTGATTTTAGTTTTTTCAGTGCTAGAATAATCGCGTGACTGAATTGCATCTTCGTTTATGTGCTGTTGCGTGATCTCTGACATACCACTGGAATATAAGAGTGATCGCGTGACATGTGACATGGCTCATTTATATCATTTTCTAACTACATTCAGGTTCAAGAACAATTTCAACAAACTCTACACGAACAGCAACAAAAAATCCTTCTATTCCAAGAAGTTCTACAAAAACAAAAATCCCAAATAGAAAAACAATCTGAGAATGAAGACGTATCTGGTCAGGCTGAGGTGAACATATCCTATGAGGAGCTCAAAGTCTCTTTCAACAGACTACAGGTGAGCACGAGAAGATGAGACGTCCTTGGTAGTCTGTTAGTGAGTAACATTATTAAAATGAAGGTTACCACCGGACTCCCAAATTCAAAACGGCATAAATTTGTTTAGATGTTAAATTATGGTTTTACATCCTACCCACAGTCCCTGCAATCAAAGTGAATAAAGCTTAACAAGTCTTTTTTGCAGTGAATGGTTGGATGATCCACTGTAAGTCGGCGCAAAGAAGAGCTTGGCAATCGCCTTATTTACTGTTATGCGCTGTCAAACGCGATTACAAAATTGAGCAGTGTTTCCAAGGTAACATGCTTCAATAATCTTCTTTCAGGGGAAGTTCAAGAACTTGATGGATGAAAAGGTTAATTTACAAGAAAAAGTCCATGAGCTTGAGCACTTGACTGATCAGTTGTCGTTCGAGACTGAAACGATTGGTAAGCAAACCATATTCTCTTGCTACTGGACAGAGTCTCAGAGAAAAAACCTTGACTTTTGGGTCCAAAGTTTGAATGTAGTATTCGGTATTCACTGATACCTTGCAGTGTAATCATATAATTCCTTCACTCGTCGACGTTGCTTGTGTTAGCTGTGCGCTACAAACATTGATAGGCACAAGAAGACTTGTGTGTTGAGTGCTTTCACGGCAATCATGCTGTAGGGCACCTTTTATATTCTGATGACGTAGGAGCCGGAGAAGTGCTGTACACCAATCACGGAAAAACGGCTAAGCTAGAAAATACCAAATCCACGCCATTTCTATACATTACCTGCGAGGCTGAGCGCAATCTTGTTTTTACTGGGGAGAAAAATCACTTCGGGAATTTCGAGAAAAAATCGCACATTTATACCAGTTCACAACGCAACGCCACAATGTTTGTTTCCCACAGGGAGACCAATATTAAGATGATGATCATAATGAAAGCTTTCTAGAGCAAGATAGTCTTCGATTAGTTGTGAATTTTTCACGGGTACCAGTCTTATCTATCATATAATTGTTTTTAGAGGGGGGGATGTCATGCAAAAACATTCCAACCTTGCTCAAATATTGACTACATGCAGTAATCTCTAGTGTAATGCCTGAAAGATGTATGTCTAATATGTTGGTATATTATGGTTTTCCAGAGGAGTATGTGACCCTGTACCAGACTCAGCGTGCTGCTTTGAAGGCTTACTACAATGAGCGAGAAAAGATTATTACTCAGCTGTCAAACGAAAAAGGAGATATGCAGGTACTATGAATTATTATATGAACTTTTAAATCCACTAATAGTGGTTGTGGATTACCCGGTTGCTGGGCTTTCTTTACAGTGTCTCCCCTCACCCCTCCCCCGTCCCCCAACCCCCCACCCCAACTATCATTATGTTATTATGTGGTTTTATATGATACATAAGCAATAGCAATAGCAATAATATATTTTTATATAGCAATAGTATGTACCAATACTGAGCGAGCGTCTTGTCGAGGTGGTCACCATAGTAAAAGGAGGGTAGGGAGGGAGGGGAACGTTTGTTGTTACCTGCTTGCGACTGATCAACCATTCTTTTCTTCCTAGAACAAAATAATCCAACTCCAGGCTCTAGTCAAGCAGCTACTAGACGAGCGACAAGTCCTAAAGCAAGAAGAATATCAGTTACACAACATCGTCAACAAAAGAATGCTAGCACATGAGCACGAACGCGTCATCCCTGACTACCAAGAAGGCGACCAGATTCTTATTGGCACTAATGAAGTATCTTTGAACTCTGATCTAGAGAGCTCGTCTGTAAACTTAGACAATTCATTGGACAGTGGGCGAGAAAGCCCAGATCAAATAAATGAGCTCGACTCGGCTTACCAGTCTTCAAAAGGCGACCAGGCGGACGGCACTGCACAGCAAATTCTTCAACTACTTGAACAATTAGGCCCTACTGAGGAGGGTACTGTAAGGGGATGGATGTCGCCTGCTGTACGAAGAAGGAACTTTTTACCCTGTCGACACTGCAGTGGAAGTCGGATGCTCGAGTTATAATTTATTTTAGTCTGAAATAGAATAGTCAATACTTTACAAAAGATGGACGCCAATGCGATCATTTAGTCAAAAATGTTATCATGTGCTGCAACCCCGCCAGATATCTCCAGATATACCGACTCTTTGTACTGTCATTATCCATATTCCAAATTTACATCGTTAGAGCGGTTTTTTTATGTGTGGGGATATACCTTAACTACGCAATGTGATTGGATGAATTACTCGAAGACAATGGAAAGCCATTTCAGTGTCGTGCTGTAAGGCAGTAACGTATGTTTCCCACTCATAAGAAAATTCTTTTTTGACAAATGCCAAAACAGTAAAGTCTTAGGAGCGATTGAGGTTGCACAACCATGGATAGCGCTTGAAAGGCTGAAAGGCTGGCAAATTTAACTTTCTTGCTTACGAGTACAACGAAACAAATCATTAGGCTAGCCAGTTCAGTCGGAATACTAAAGCATGGACAACTCTAAATTTAACATATATATTACTTTTTCTTTCTATGCGACTCTTGAAGTAATGTTCTGGCTCTTTTTCTCAGCCTTTCTATGATAATTACCTTGGGGTCGAGAGGCTCTATCGCTCCGCTGCTTCTCGGCTTCTCTTTCGCGATAGCGAAACCTACGACCGAAAAGCACTGGTGGGCATGATTTGAGACAAGTAGAAGGGAGCGTATAGGCATTTTAGGGAGACGAGGCAAATATACGTCCTTTATTGAGAAGAGGGAGTAGAAGAGAAATTATGGCGTTGGAAACTTGAATTTTTGCCTTCATTATTATCACTAGATAAATCATATTCTTATTTTACCGGTTCATCCTGTTTTGACAAATACGGCAGATTTATACGAGTGGGAAACCTTTCGCGCCTAACTTTGAAATGGCTTCTGATTTGAAGCGCTGTGATTGGACCATTTTCAGATACTGTACTAGCATTATGATTGGTTCAAACCGGACGCCATTTGAGGGTTGGATGCTGGAAGTAAAATCCACTTCTACGAAATTTACTGGGGTGAAAAAATTATCGTACAAAAACCAATTTAAAAACAAAATTTTTGCGAAATTCGCTTCTCACGGTCAAGATAGGGAAATAATTAATTGAAGATAGGAGATTATTTCCAAACAACGTTACCCAGTAGTCCAAACTAATATAACATAGATAATTATACAGCTTCTCATTAATCCCATATAGGTAACTGTCCAATTATTTTCTTAATTGGACAGGTCTTGTTGATATGGGATTAATTAGGCAGCTATATAATTAATAGGTAATGGGATTTTATGCTGTCCAATCAAGAAATAATTAGACTTGAAAAATTCCTCTGACTGCCAAATTTTGTCAGTCTTGGAATTTTCCGCGTCCAATTATTTCTTAATTGGACAGCATGGAGTCCTATAACATATACTAATGCAACCAGTATCTTATGCCCAGACTGATATTATTTAAATAAATTAGAAAATAAATCCAATGGCACGAATCGATGGGTGAACGTGCTGGAGTATTTACACGGGATAAAAATTATAAGGTAATGAAATATTTTTACTAGTAATACATGTAAAATATATATAAAGAAATTCCTTTAATAAAGTGGAAATTCTTTCTGTTTAGTCTTGAGAAAATGTTTTAGTCTCGAGGAGGGCGATATTTTAGGTTGTGGAAATATGAATGTTGCTCCCCACCTTCCCCTCCCCTAAGGTAGTTTCGCGTGAGTTTATTGTAACTAAACACCAGTCTTACCGGTCGGGCAAGAAAACACGTCATCAAAATGGAGGCATGGTGGTTGTGTTGCAACAGAATGAAACCAAAAAGCTCACTATATTGCAATTATTTCGAACCCTTTCGGAAATTCATTGGTCGAATATTATAAACCATTACTCATTTCATTCATACTATGAATTTCAGAGGTTTTCTTTTAGTTTTAGCAGTTTTCCTCAGCGTTTTAAGGTACTAATGCTATCTTACTGTCTTGAGTAATTCAGTTATGGGAAGTACAACTTGTTCACTGTAGTACGTACACTTTAGTTTCTTATTCTTATTACAATATTATTTATACTCTTCTTATCCACAGAATATGTCATGTAGAGAACCCAGAAGTAGGTACAGGGTCAAAACCTTCCTTAAATGGCCAAAATAATTCGCTAAACGTTGAGGAGGAGAATGAGGTAAGTGGAAACCAACAAATCTAAGAAAATTAATGTCAACATTTCCTCTTGTATATGAGTTTTCATCCCTGTTGCTTGGATATGAAAACCTATCGAGAAAGGAATCCAATGTCTTGTACACGTTGAACAAGAAATATTTTAATATTCTACTTCATCTGTATTCATTTAAATCTTTGGACCTCATAATATTGGACCTCGATTTCCCCAAACCGTCCACAAACATTTAATCTAAACTCGTGCGAACTTATACAAACTTGTCACCATTCACCAACTATTTTCAAGAATGAATGTTAGAAATCTTATCTCTGTGACATTATTGGAGACAGTTTGCAGGAAGAAATTATTCTAGATTGATCAATTTATTCGTATTTCATTAGATAAGCTGCTTTGGGCAACATATGATTTTATTATTCTTGATTGCTGAGCGTGAAAGAAAACATGTTTACAACTCATAGATTCTGAATAAATATACCATCAATTCTGATCGACACGTTTTTTTCATTGCTTGTTCAAATTACTCAAAAGAATGTTCCTGAAAAATAAAAAGTGGATTAATGTTATTTATTTCATTTCATACGAAAAACTTACGAAATGAATTAAGATTTCCCAATATTCGCATTATTATCTATCCAGCTTGCATATAACTGTCAAAACAGTCTTGACAAGGTTAAACAAAACCTGCTCCTCAAGTCATTGAATGGATTTTTAATCAAGCTTGTGACTTTTCTCATTGGGCATCCAATAAATCGCTTTAAACAGCAGGAGATATAAAAATTCTGTTCCTGAATGCATTAGTTATTCAAAGTGGACTAATTGTCATATCTTGTTTATATCCGCACTTGCAGACTGTTTTCCTTTTCAATATTATATTAAGCCCATGCAGGGACCGTGGAGCATATTATGTTTTTGGGGGGCTATCGACCACTGAAGGCTGGAGTAACTAGGGGGCCCCTTGGAAATTTTGAAATCACGACTCTCGGAAATGCAATTTCCAGCATTTTGAGGGACATTGGAAAAATATTTTTTGTACTAAATTTATGGAAATATTGCGCAAAATTTAAAATGGCGACCAAATTATTGGGGGGGCTATAGCCCCCCAGCCCCCCTGCTCCTTGTTCCCTGCCATGTGTTAAGTAAAAATGCCAAATTTTACAATTCATTCCTCACAGATTATGTTGAACGAATTCTCATAGGTTTTCTCTTGGTACATGTCATATCTATATCATTGAAATCATTAAATAAATTTAAAACACTCATTAATAATTCATAAGGTTATGGTCCAATTGCAGCCACCATACGCTTCACGTGCATGAACCTTTATACTCGATAAAGTCCTCTTCATTAGTATTCAAGTGATTTTATATAAAGACACATGTGATCTTTATATAAAGACCACTCGAATACTATGAGGATGATTTCATCAGGGATGAAGTATACATCCAAGTTTAGATGAAGACATAGAGCTTCATCAAGGTCATAGTCAACCCTAATGATCTTTGACTAACGTGCCTGTCTTTGCCTTGGCATGCAATATCCAACGTGTGGGAGCTTCTGTTGAATCTGGTTGCGCATGCCCGTGACGTCAAATCTCTAACRAAGTATAAAAATCCATGTTCGTGACGTGTATGGTGGCTCCAGTTGAACCAAAATCTTATAAATTGTTCATGAGTATTTTAAGCAGTTCAAAAAACTCGTAGATTGTGTTTTATCAGGTATAAAAGCACTCGGCTACGCCTCGTGCTTTTATACCTGATAAAACACTCCTACTCATTTTCGTCCTACTCTACACTACATAATTTTAGTGACATGCACCAATGCTGTAGTATGTGTTAGCATATTAAATGAAGGGGTGAAAATAAAAATGGCCTAAGTGACTTTTTGGGATATTTTTTTTCAAATAGCCTAAAATAAACAAAACTACCAGCAAACAGCCTCTTTTGGTTTATATGTGAATGTTTAGTATTCATTTTTCATGATTTTGATCTGAAAAGTAGAAAAACGCTCCTTAATTACTCATTGGCTTTGCTTGACAACCTATCATCCGTCCGTGAACTAGTGTATATTTGCATATCCCTTGATGCCTTAAGTGAATTGCATTAACAGTCTGCTGTGTGTTCAAGCAGAAACTTTAATTCGATTTTGTCATTGTAAGTCTATTTAATTGCAGCTTCTCTTATTTTTACAAGAGCATGGTATTTTTTGGCACAAATCTATTTATTCGGCTTTGCAGGAAGCTACATGTCCTTTAAATGCGTGTGTGCTGAAGCAGAAATTTTAATATAATATGGAAAAAAACCATTGCAGTACTATGAAACCATTGTGTGCTCAAGCAGAAATTTTAATATAATATGGAAAAAAATTTGCAGTATTTTTTCAGCTTGATGACCAATGCTGTAATATGTGTTAGCATATTAAATGTATGGGCTGTCTCATTCTAATTATTGTTTTTTCTTAGTGTCTTGAAAATTTTGAAGTGTGGCGCAAATGACCTCACTTCCTTTGAATCCCTGAAAATTGCCAGGAATGCTATCGCTTGATGGCGGACTCAAAGGGCCAAACTTTACCCGCTAAATACAACATCTTCCCAATCTCTTATTGAAAGAGAATTTGGACAGTAAACTATATTGCATGTCTAGTTTTATATGGTACAATTTCCAGGGATGGTGTCATTTTCGTAAGACTAATACTTAAGACTGAATAATAAAACCCTTGGAAAACTTTAAATATTTTTTAAAGTTTGATATAACAGAGTGCAAACCATATACATGTATCTGTGAAAGGGGACAAAAACTAAATAGCACTAAACACAACTATTTCTTTTGTTTTCAATTGTTTCATTGGTGCTATTTTGTACTAATTGCCCTATTTCACTATGACGTCAAATCAAAACAATCTATTGTTTAAACGCAAAGGATCATGGTCATGGGAGGGGTTCAAATCAACGCAAATTCACCAAAAGTTGTTTTAAAACCTGTATCAATCCACGAAGAGAAGTAGAATAGCCAGCAAACGCTCAGAATATTTTTTAGTACATATCAACACATTATCTGAAAACCAGGCCATTTTAGATTAAACTGTTTCGCTAAGAGCAAATTTTGTTGAATTTTCTATTGGATTTAGTGTTTCTGTCCCCCACATAAACAAGCATTGACATCATAGTGAAATAGGGCAATTAGTTAGTACTACTTCAAGGATATATGGTTTGCACTCAGATACTTAAATACCAGTAGCAATTTAAATTTAAATCAAAGATTTTTATTAATTACAGGTAAAATCTAATGGGGAGTTGTCAGATTCATCATCGTCATCATCATCATCATACACCACTTCATCACCCTCGTCATCTTTTTCATCATCATTGCCATCATCTTCAAGCCCCGAAGCATCAACTGATAGTCCCTCTACCTTCTCTTCCAAGAGAAGTATTTCTTCATCAGAACTAGAACAGCTAGTTATTCCCACAGTTGCACCAGCCACTCCTCATTTTGACACAGAAACCATTACTTCAACTTCATCAGTTATCGTTAGTGTCACTGAATCCAGTCATCAAGAAAAGATGCCTGTAGAAGAGCCAGCACCCCAGCAGGAATTTTTATTGGCATCTGGCATCAAGCCTGAGGGAATAAAAACATGTAAAAGTGAAGAAAAGGGAAAGAATGCTGAGATACAAGAAAGCAAAGGTGCTGAAGAGAAACTTATTCAAGATGAAACTGCACCTGAAAAACCACAGGAAGAACAAAGGTACATTGTTGTTTTTGCGTTATGTTGAGATCAAATATTTCAAGCAAGAAAAAGGTTCAAAATAACAGTAGTTTCCCATCTATCCACACATCTTTTCCTTCCATTCACAAATTCATTCATAAATCACTGATATCCTTTTTGTGTTCAGCAGTGTGGTAACATCATTACCTACCCCTGAAGGTGTACCGGATAAGAAAGATGCTGATTCTTCTGCCAGTGTATTTAAAGATAAAAAAGAGGAAGAACCTAAAGATATAAAAGAGGATACAAAAGACAAAGACGAAAAGGAGGAAACAAAAAGCAAAGAAGAATCTAAGGACAAAGAAGATGACAGTATAACAGCTGAACTAAAACAGGCAGAAGAAGAAACAAAATCCACATCTGAAGAAATGCCATCATTTGATGAATTCAAAAGACAACACCTACAAGAAGAGGAAAAACAGAAAAATATACTGAAACAGCAAAAGGAAGTCAAAGGGTCTGGCCCTGAAACCATTGATAAACACAAGCCTCGAAAAATCAAACAAAGAAAACAAAATAATTATGCATCACTAGACTGTGGAGCCAAAATACTAAAAGCAAATCCTGAAGCTTCTAATATATTTGCTATTCTTCAAGATAACAGAGACTTATATATGTTGAATCCCTGCAGTGCCAAGATCTGGTTTATCGTAGAGTTGTGTGATAACGTACAAGTCAAGACTATTGAAATTGCAAACTTTGAGTTGTTCTCGTCGACGCCTGAGAGCTTTAAGGTGTACGTGAGTGGGAGGTACCCCACTCGGGAATGGACTCTACTGGGTACATTTCAAGCAAGGCATGAAAGAAATTTACAGAGTTTTCCTTTGGATGAGCCTATTTATGCTAAATACATTAAGGTATGAGATTATTGGAACATTGCATTAATTTATATATGAGATTATAAAATTATAAAATATTTGATATCTAAGGTGCATGCTGATTTGTATGTTACCTTGTAACTTATATCAGAAGACAGACTTGCCTCTTGCGACAAACAAGTATTTCTCTGCACTGTGATATAAATATGCTCTACAGCTTTAGGCATGTTTATATCACAGTACAGAGATAAGGGCACATGTTTTATATTCCGCTACATAGATCGTCGCTTCATTAAACCGTTTTCAACCGTTTTGATTGCAATCTCAATTATACAGGGTTAGCCTCATTTCAGTGTCCAAATATTTACAAATACCAACGGTAAGGTAAAGAATGCACAATTTCAACAATACAAACAATTTAAAATCACGGACTTTGACATGAATGGCATGAATATTGAAAATGATTGCCATACGAAAATCGAGGCTAACCCTGTACATGAGAGAATCGGACCTGGAGTATTGGACCAAAGCTTTATAAATTGTTCATGAGTTTTTAATGGTGTATTAATTGTATATTCTTTCACTATCAGGTTGAGATGCTAAGTCACTTTGGCTCTGAACACTACTGTCCACTCACTTTATTCCGAGTCTTTGGTATAAGCATGATGGAAGAACTCGAAGATCACGAGGCAGATGCCCAAGATGATGCTGATGCGGGTGATGATGATGATGGTGCACAAGTGTTACCTTCCGACCCATCTGTCAAGAACGACGAAAATAAGTCTAAATCAAACATTCTTGCTACTGTTGGGGATACTTTGTTCAATATTGTTAAAGTCGCTGCTAAGAAGCTAACAGGTGCGACAGACAATGAAAAGAATCTTACGGGTGACAGTCATGGAACATCAACTGTGGCTCCTCCATCCAGTATTGTGTCTTCAACAACATTAAAAGAAAAGGGCGATAAACCAAGTATAGTGACATTGATCCCCAGCGATGATGAAGATGACAAAATCCAGGATACAAAACAAAACAATAAAACAACTAATGGCACTAGTTCCACTGAACCTACGAAACCAGAACAGGAAAACGTACGAGATAATACTAATTTTTATGATAAAATCGATCCGGATAGCAACCGAGGTTCAAAGACAGCCTCTGCATTTTCAAGCTGTGAATTATTTGTGCGCATGCTCGGTCATTCGAGTTTCGGGTGCATGATGGGTAAAGTGTTGTACTCCAAGAGAAAGCATCACGGTTTTACCCCTAGGGAGGAGTCACCTGCTAAACAAAAGACAAGTGCAGGAAGCGTAAAGGCACCTCCTGGGAGCGATGGCAGGACAGAGACGAACACTGATAAGGGAAAGGAAGACTCCAAGAAAAACGAAGAAAAGAAGGAAGGAGAGAAAGAAAGTGAAAAGGTGGAAGAAAAAGGGAAGAAAAAGGGGAAAGAAAAATACGATGAGAATATTAAAGAGCCTATTGTACAAAAGGAAGAGAATGGAATTGAAATTATTTCTAAAGATGAAACAAAACAAAAAGAACCTTCGGTAGAGACTAAAGGCTCCTCTGACTTGAACGCAGAAAAAGTAAGCAAAGAAAATGAACAAAAGATCATTAATGGCGTAGTTGATCCAGTCATAATAGTCCAGCCTAGTGAAGTACAACCACCAATCATAAAACCATGTGATGCTAGCGCTGAGAAGAAGGCCACGCCGGTATTGAAAACTGCCTCTATACTAACCACCCACCCCTCTGGTGATATCAAAGAGTCTCAATCCACCCAGACGACAAGTTCTGATATTGAACCTACTTTAAAAACTCTTGAGAAGTCAAAAGAAGAAGCATCGGAATCACAGAACCGTGCAACTATTGATGATGTTTCAAAGATTACACCCGATGTGAAAGACGGAGTCATAATTAGTGAAAATACAGGAAAGGAAAGCATCGATACGAAATCTACAGAAACTATAACAAGTAAGAATGAAGAGACTAAAACAGAGGAAGGCTCTTCTGCATCCTCTATAGTGGACCAATCTTCTTCAGGTGTAAAGGATACATGTACCTCGCTTGATTCGTTAGATAAGTCAATAATCAAACCATCGCTCCCCCCACCGTCCAAGTGTAAAGCACCAAGTATCGAAACACCTAACAAGGACGTTGATGTCTTAGAGTTTAAAATACTGGACAGCGCTGGTAGGGAAGGGACAGCACACCTTGAAAAACCAACGGATACACCGGTTAAACCTGACAAACCTGTTCCTGAACCAGATAAACCAGTTTTGGAGAAGGAACCAATCGAGGATACCAAGGAAGAAAAACCGGATGCCGATTCACAGAGCAGCAGTGAACCTTCTTCAGCTCAAAATACTAGTGATGTGACACGTGCTTCACCAACTGAAGACCTGACTGTATCGAGTTCCAGTGTTGAGCCAACAAAACCAAGTGTTGTTATTCCCGATTCTCCACCAGAGCCACCAACCAACCCCCCTGATGTAAAACCTACTGACTCACCCGAGTCCATAAGCCCACTATCCCCTCCCCCAGTGGATAAACTCCCCATACCACCTCCCCAAAGTAGTATCGAAGCTTCTATTTCAGATGACTTATCGTCGGTACTAAGCAAGGCCCCTAGTAGTGCTACTCCAGGGGCTCAGGGACTTGCAAGCAGTGGGGCTCAGAAGGAGTCTATTTTTATGCGCCTTACCAACAGGATAAAGGCCCTAGAACAGAATCTTACTCTGAGTACGTTGTATATGGAAAAGCTGAACCAAAAGTAAGAACAGCATGTCAAATGATACATTGATTCTTGTAGAATCTTGGTTAAAAGCCGGTTGTAAGCCCTGGGCTTATACTGTTGCCACTCATTCGGAAGGTTTTTTTCATCAGCTTATAATCGGCAGGACTTATTCTGGGGAATGTTATATCCGGGGGGG